ATTCCACAATGCCATTGTCTATTTCTCCTACTCAGATCTCGGCGGTTTAATCGGCAATGTTTGTCATAAAATTGGATTGAAATACGGTATTCAAGGCCTTTGGATGAATGTACATACAAAAGAATTCGATCCAACTACGACATCAACAAAACTTTTACTATCATCGAATCCTCAAGATATCTTCGCTTTTCTCGGTCATGACTATGAACGATATGCGAAAGGATTTGAGAATGCCAATGAATTCTTCCAATGGATTGTCGAAGGAAAATACTTTCGTCGTCAGTATTTCGATGACGATCAACTTAACCATGCACATCGGCAACGAACATCGAAACGTCCGATTTACATAAAATTCATAGCATTCTTAGATGAACACGAAATTCCGCGAGAGCAACCAATTGAAAATCGTGATGAACTTGCTCGCGATGTTCGTCAACAAGCATTGACTTTCTTCGACAAACAAGACGCCTATGAAAAAGGATTGAACGCCCGCGATGAAAAACGACAATTTCGTGAAAAGTACAGCGGCAAAGACTTTCTTGATATTGGTGATCAGAAACAAATGATTCCTGTACATATGCGCAATTTCGAAAGACGATTTGGCAAAACGGACGAAGAATTCCATCAATGGGTACTCAACACCGATGTTGAAACTATCAAATCCGAAATTGAGAAATTCAAACAAGAGCTGAAAACTAACCGATCCTAGCGAATGTTCTTTTCTGCAAACACTTCAGATCTGGGAAAGAAATGTTCGATAGAGGTTGCTTTTATATCAAACAAATAAATCATTCTAAATTATTTACGAAACAATAACGAAAGCACTGTTTAGAGATTCTGACTACTAAAGATAATTATTGCACACACAAGACAAACAACACGTAGACAGGTTCTGATGTATTGTATTTCTATCTGGCTGATTGTGTAATAAGGAAATAATTATGATTCTAATCTGGGGCATTCAGGATGAATGAAGTTGCGTGGATGGATCATTCCATTTTGTCGGATAACCCATTCGTTCGCTAGATAATCAATGACTTCCTGAATCTGTTCTTGGCGAATGTCACCATCGAGTTCAGCTAAATACCGATAAAATTTCTTCCACTGATCGAACGGAATTCGAGCATTAGCACCTGGAGGATCGCTTGTTAACAGCTCACATATCTTTATTAATGTATCCGTCAAACTCTATGAGAAAACAAAGACGATATGAAATATTAATAGGACAAGTTGTATACTTTTGATATTTTTGTCATGGCTACGGTTAGAAAATGTTCCCATTGTACATCTCCGTTGAACCCACCGATTTGTACGATATCATCGAATTGTTCTTGTGGTATGCTCAAATCTTGGTATTTATTCTGAATTTCATTTAGCGGAACCATGCCTTTCGAAGCGAACTAAAACAAATCAATCATTTACCGAAAAATCCTCCTAAGTCGGCTCTTATGTCACGAACGTTCCCATATTACCCTAATTACGATCAAATTTCTGCTTGATCAGTCTCCTTTTAGGCAACAACTGATCCCAACTACATAAGAATATCCAAACAGTTTAACTTGCTTCCTCTTTCACTATACTTAAAACATCTACCTATTATTGATGTCGTCTTCTCCTCATGCTAAGATTGCACATTATAATTAATATGTTTTTCTCACCCTCAATAATAGCTGACAAATGAAAAGCTATGTACTTAAAATCAATTATACCCTCTATTCTAGCGCAGAAGAATTGCGCCTATAATTATTATGGTTCGTTGTTAGCTACTGGTAATATTTTCAAAGCAAATCTTGATTACTTCATTGAAAAGATTACCTGTCTATGTAGGATCTTTAATAGACCCATAGTTAAACCTGTGTCGATCTTTTGTGTCGCAACAGGCATCTCCATACCTATATAATTTGTAATATGCAATTGTTTGAACAAAAGAAAGGATGTTCCTACGTTCTTTAATCGGCGGTGTTTGACCATTTGCTAATGCTCGGAAGTATCTATAAAGAAAAACTCATAAAAACATCAATAGAAGCCATTTGACTTACGCTGCACTCCATGCCAATACGTCTGTTGGCTGTGTGCGTATTGCTGCTTTGGAAAATTGAAGTAATATGTCCGGAAATTCGGATGGAATTGAAATTTGCTCGCTTGTATAATATGGTTCATTTGTCGCCATATTTGTTCAAAATGAACGCTTGTGGTTGTGTTCGATGTAAACATGTCAATAGAATTTTCAACCATTTAGATTATCTCATTATACATCACCAGTCATTTGGAACTGATATGTCAAAAAAATTATTTTTATAGAATATTTGACATCTTAATGAGGATTTGTGCAAGGAACTCATGATACGTTCAATTTCTCGTTCGCAGCGATTGTGGCGCAGTTGAATATGATTGGTTCGCAGGAATTTGAGGCTCGAAACAAAGACAGACTCAATCAATCGTTCTGTCGTCAGTTAGAAAACGAAGAGAAGAATGAAATCATCATCGCGCTCAGTACTACAAAATCGAAATGTGGAAAATCGACCGATACCTTCGTACGAGTTCGGATGTTTCTTTCAATGACATTTGAACATTTGTCTGATATTTATAGAGAATACTTCTTGGGAGGCGACTCAAAGAAACATAGTGAAGACAAACGGAAACAACATACTGCCTCATCCTCTTCGACATCTAATGCTGATTTGATCACAAATCATCTGAATGAAACAACAACAGCAGCGGCAGCATCATCGAAAACACCTCAGTGAGTACTCGCGATGTTCAGTTTGAATAAGATTCGAGAGATTTCTTTCGTAGACGACAATGGACAATCAATGATTTCGAAATAGGAGCACCGTTAGGTCGCGGACGTTTTGGTCATGTTTATTGTGTTCGTGAAAAGAAGAGCAAATACATTGTTGCACTGAAAGTATGATTCGGCTTGTAAAACTATTCTTATGAATGCATTTTATGTGTGCTGGTAGGCGATCATCAAAGATCAGATATCGACTCCTCGCTTAGCTAAACAATTGATAAGTGAAATATCCATACAAAGTCGTTTGAAGTAAGAAACTCTTTCGATAAATCTCGATCTCGCTTGAAAGGAAACAATGTGATTTCAGACATCCGAATATTCTGCGTTTGTATGGATTTTTTCACGACGAACAACGAATTTTCCTGCTTCTGGAATATGCACCCGGCGGAGAATTATATCGACGTATGCAAAAAGAAAAAATTCTCAAAGAAACCGAAGCTGCTGGTGTAAATACCTTTCATCTAAGAGTAGCTCTCTCATCAGGAAACCTGCTACTTTCTTTTCTAGTATGTCTATCAACTTTGCAATGCTTTGTCCTATCTCCATTCGAAACAAATTATTCATCGGTACGTAAATTATGCTTAAGTCCGATGATCAACTGAAGAACGATGTTTTGTAGTGATATCAAACCAGAAAATATTCTCATTGGCATTTATGGTATTCTCAAATTAGGTAAACAGTTAGCTAATTGATCTAGTCGATTAGTATGCTTCGTCTTGTTTTCAGCTGATTTCGGTTGGTCAGCAGAGAGCACTGAAACAAACAAGTGAGTTGAATTTTCAAACAATAACATTGAAGTTCTTTATCCGTTGGAATCTAAACAGACGAACAACTCTGTGCGGTACACTGGATTATTTAGCACCGGAAATGCTCAATGGACACGGCTATGACGAAAAAATCGATCTTTGGTGTTTAGGTGTATTCACCTATGAAATGGTACTGATCTGAACCAGTCAAATTTTCTATTCAACTTTGCTTATAGATCGTAGGCAAACCTCCATTCGATAGCCCTACGCAACAAGATACTATTCGTCTGATACGAACGATTGATTTGTCATTTCCACCGAATACATCTCAACATGCTCGAGATCTTATTAGTCAGGTAAAAAATCGGCATTTCATGATACTAAATTTCGATGAAATTTGATCATTTAGTTGATTCGTCGTAATCCTCAAGATCGCATGCCATTAAACGAAGTAATTCAACATCAATGGATTGTCACAAATGCAAATATCAAAGCCATCGATGAGAATTACGAGAAAATTAACAGATCAACTTCGATTAATCATAAAGATGACAGTAATATCTGAAATGGATATTATTGTCATTCTTATTCTATTTATTTTTCTTCTACAATGACACATCACAAAGTCTCGATGTTATCTCAACGGAATTTCTTTCTTTATGTATTTTTGTCTTGCGTGCACTTCAATGATTGAATGAATATATAGGCAATCTAACGTATCAAGTTAAATGCACATATACTTTAATGTTTATATCCCAGAAAGTGCTCTGTCAATCATGTTTGGGGAGTAAGACACAGCTGCCAACAGATAATTAGTAGCAAGATGAATGATACTAAAGGGAAAAGATAGTCTATACTGTCTGTTCTTTCTTCAGTTTCCTTGTTGACTATCATTGTTATTCTTTTATTGCATTGTCTCCATATTATTCTAAATAAATTCTCTTCCGAATTGATTGCATAGCGATAGAAACTGTAAGCGTTAGATCGATGAAAAAAAAAGAAGAAGAAGAAAGAAAAGAAGATAGAGTAGTCGTTTCCGTTCTCTGTTCTTTTATCATTCTATTGATGTTGCTGTTTCTAATGGAGCTAGTCCTATTAGTCAAATAACGACCGCTAGAGAGGATCATGACACTGTGTTAACCCAGCACTTAATTATTCGGACTGATAATGCAAATATAAAAAGTGGAAAACTTCACAGAACTGGATTTCACTTGCATCAAGAATGACGCATCAAACATGTTCTCATGTCACTTCCTGTTGTGCTTTAACACCGATCCTGGCGAGCCAATATTCGTTTTGGTTATATAGGTAAGAGTGTTGAGTGTTAGTTTATTCGAAGAAAAAAAAACATGAAATAGTCGCGGAGTTCAGCGTGAGGAACGATATAAGTTTATCAAACGGAAATAATGAATTGAAAAATCCCTCGGGATATGAGAAGATCAAGGATAATGTGTTGTTTTATGTTCATTAGAAATGAAAAGATCGAATCTCTCAATTTATTCATACGTCCGGTCATATCAACGGATATTTATGATCTGAAAGTTCTATTCTCCGATTGCAGTCTCTTCCAACGAGCAACCATCGACTTTTCCATGTATTATTTCACATTTCGACCTAAACATTCGTATATAATCACATCCAAACACGGACTTCTCGCTCATGCCTCGATTAAACAATGGAATCTCACGAAGAATTCACCGGCAATTGTACTCATGCTTGGTCTCGTCTATGTCCGATCAGATTATCGAAAGTTCGGTATCGGAGAATTGCTCACGAACTATGTCCTGAAACTCAAGTCAGACGATCCCGTTTGTATCCATGCAAATATCCTAACGCAGCATTTACCATTTTATATTCGTTATGATTTTCAAGCGTCGTTTTCGCTAGTTGGTTTAGTTGGTAAATTAAATGAATTTTATAATCTAACCAATGTCATCGAGGAAGAAATTCTCATTCAACAATACGAACTATCCGATATACTCGATATCGCTGCGTATGATAGTCATATTTATCCGACGTACCGAATTCATTACTTTGAACAATTGCGTGAGCATATCTATTCAATTGCTGGTTATGTCGCACGTTCGATAAAGACGAATGCCATCTTAGGATATGTTATTCTCAACTTCAGTCAAGAATTCATCAAATGTGGACCATTGTATGCAGAAAATATCAACATAGCGCTGTTATTGTTGAGACAATGTGCGACTGATTATGATGGTATGATGTTGCTAGCTTTACCTGAAGATAATCGAATTGCCATGAAAATGTTCGAGTCGAAACATTATAGACAGACGCATATTCTTCATCGGGTTCATACAGGCAACGAAATTCTTTTCCAAGACAAAGTCTTCGAACGTATTTGGGCAATTACAGACGACTGGCTCTCGTTAATTTGAACTCATTGTGTATAAATGTCTATGTTTGAATTTCTATTCGGGTGCTGTGTCAGTTTGTGAAGGATGATACAGAGAAATATACGATCATCTCAATTTCTACATTCATCAGAGCGTTGTTATTCAGAAGTCTTGCATTAGTTTGTCTGTCCTTATCAGAAAACAATTATTTTCAGACAACATACATGGGAAATCATCGATAAAACGTAAGGACATTCGAAGAGCAGGCGTCTGCTTCCTTTCTAATCTGAAGACTTTTCCGAAAGGCTTGCCAGTATCTTCGTCATATCACAGAAGATTGTTAATGAGAAAGGAACGAAGATTTTTTTGTAAGTAAACAACGTAGTACGTGGTTTTAGGAAAATTGGTGTTGATCTGATTATCATCATTTGAATATTGATCAAATCAATCGAATATCATTGATTAACTTCTTATTTTTTCTCTCATCGGATTAGCATCAATTTCATTTGACTGAATGGATATTCTGGAAAACCAATCGTGAGCCTATATAGATGTCACATTTAAATTTCGAATGAATCATACGTGTACTATTTTATTTCATTCCTACACATACATAGTCAGTCATAGATAAATAAGAAAGAATCAGTGAGATTGATACTAATCACTAGAGAAAAACGATTGTTTAGTTTTAGCATTGAACTTGATTGAATATGAATATCGACGAAGATGTCAATCCATTTGCTGATCCATCGATTCAGCAAGCAACTCAGCAAACATTGTTCGTATAGTTCTTCTCATTTGTTATCAATATTTGCCTTGTTCTTTAGCACAAATCAGCAGACACTCAATGAGTACAATCCATTTTCCAATGCGACTGTTGCTGCAAAAGTATGTTCGTCAAACTCTTCATAATTAGAATGGAATCAATGATAAATTTCAGACAGCACCAGTGAATGCGGGTACATCTACACCATCATATCAATCAGCGGCACCTCCGACGGCTGCTCAACAAACAAATCGAATTGATTTCAGTCAATTAGAACGACAACAAGCCGAACTTGAACAACGTGAAAAGCGTCTTGCAGATCGCGAACGAGAATTGAGAAATCTACAAGCTCCACGTAAATCTCCTAACCGAAAAAAATCCCGTTCAATACTTGCCTTACTTTAGATCGTGACAAAAACTTTCCACCACTACCAGCTTGGTGTCCACTTCGTCCATGTTTCTATCAAGATATCGGCGTTGAAATTCCACCTGAGTTTCAAAAATGGGTTCGTTATCTTTACTATCTCTGGTTACGTATGTAATTTCACTCTTGCCACATTCATCGATTCAAGCAATTTCTTTTACTTTGTCGTAGTATATTCAGCAACATTGGTTTTAAATATGATAGCAGCCTTCTCTTATCTAAGTAAGTGGTGTTTTTTTTTCAAAGAATTTCGAATTCGTTTCGGTTTTCTAGTGGTTGATAAAAACGGCGCAGCGACATTTGGTCTCTCGATACTTTACTTGTTTTTATTTGTTCCTTGTTCATACGTCTGTTGGTTTCGACCAATCTATCGAGCGTTCAGGTGATATACACATCTTTTTTTCGATCTCGATTGTTCAGATATTTGAGAAAGAGGACATCACTTCTAGGTCCGATCGAGCCGTGGATTTCATGATCTTTTTCTTCATATTCTTCTTTCAAATCGGTATCTCTGTTTTCATGATATTGGGTTGGAAAAATTCAGGATTTTGGTAATAGAAGTAGCGAAAATAGCATTGCCTAATCTAATTTTATTAACTGTTCGAAACCAAATCTAATCGATACATCCATAAATTGATAATTGACTTTCATTAACCATGATTTTTTTGTCTAATTTCATCTAGAGAAGACAGTGCATCCAGCTTTATGATCTTTTTTCTCATCTTCTTCATTCAAATCGTCATAACCATCTTACAATTCTTTGGTNNGGGAGTAAGACACAGCTGCCAACAGATAATTAGTAGCAAGATGAATGATACTAAAGGGAAAAGATAGTCTATACTGTCTGTTCTTTCTTCAGTTTTCTTGTTGACTATCATTGTTATTCTTTTATTGCATTGTCTCCATATTATTCTAAATAAATTCTCTTCCGAATTGATTGCATAGCGATAGAAACTGTAAGCGTTAGATCGATGAAAAAAAGAAGAAGAAAGAAAAGAAGATAGAGTAGTCGTTTCCGTTCTCTGTTCTTTTATCATTCTATTGATGTTGCTGTTTCTAATGGAGCTAGTCCTATTAGTCAAATAACGACCGTTAGAGAGGATCATGACACTCTGTTAACCCAGCACTTAATTATTCGAACTAATAATGCAAATATAAAAATTGGAAAACTTCACAGAACTGGATTTCACTTTTATCAAGAATGACGCATCATACATGTTCTCATGTTGCTTCCTGTTGTGCCTTAGCACCGATACTGGCGAGCCAATATTCGTTTTGGTTATATAGGTAAGAATGTTGAATGTTAGTTTGTGTTCGAAGAAAAAAAAAGACGAAAGAGTCGCGGAGTTCAATGTGAGAAACGATATAAGTTTATTAAACGGAAATAATGGATTGAAAAATCCCTCGGGATGTGAGAAGATCAAGAATAATGTGTTGTTTTATGTTTATTAGAAATGAAAAGATCGAATCTCTCAATTTATTCATACGTCCGGTCATATCAACGGATATTTATGACTTGAAAGTTCTATTCTCCGATTGCAATCTGTTCCAACGAGCAACCATCGACTTTTCCATGTATTACTTCGCATTTCGACCTAAGCATTCGTATATAATCACATCCAAACATGGACTTCTCGCTCATGCCTCGATTAAACAATGGAATCTCTCGAAGAATTCACCGGCAATCGTACTTGTGCTTGGTCTCGTCTATGTTCGATCAGATTATCGAAAATTCGGTATTGGAGAATTGCTCACGAACTATGTTCTGAAACTCAAGTCAGACGATCCCGTTTGTATTCATGCAAATATCCTAACGCAGCATTTACCATTTTATATTCGTTATGGTTTTCAAGCGTCATTTTCGCTAGTGGGTTTAGTTGGTAAATTAAATGAATTTTATAATTTGACCAATGTCATCGAGGAAGAAATTCTCATTCAACAATATGAACTATCCGATATACTCGATGTCGCTGCGTATGATAGTCGTATTTATCCGACGTACCGAATTCATTACTTCGAACAATTGCGTGAGCATATCTATTCAATTGCTGGTTATGTCGCACGTTCGATAAAGACGAATGCCATCTTAGGATATGTTATTCTCAACTTCAGTCAAGAATTCATCAAATGCGGACCATTGTATGCAGAAAATATCAACATAGCGCTGTTATTGTTGAGGCAATGTGCGACTGATTATGATGGTATGATGTTGCTGGCTTTACCTGAAGATAATCGAATTGCCTTGAAAATGTTCGAGTCGAAACATTATAAACAGACGCATATTCTCCATCGGGTTCATACAGGCAACGAAATTCTCTTCCAAGACAAAGTCTTCGAACGTATTTGGGCAATTACAGACGACTGGCTTTCGTTAATTTGAACCTATTGTCTATAAATGTTGTCTATATTTGTATTTCTATTCGGGTGCTGTGCCAGTTTGTGAAGTGTGATACTGAGAAATATACGATCATCTCAATATTTACATTCATCGGAATGTTGTTATTCAGAAGTCTTGAATTAGTTTGTCTGTTCTTATCAGAAAACAATTATTTTCAGACAACATACATGGGAAATCATCGATAAAACGTAAGGACATTCGACGAGCAGGCGTCTGCTTCCTTCCTAATCTGAAGACTTTTCCGAAAGGCTTGCCAGTATCTTCGTCATATCACAGAAGATTGTTAATGAGAAAGAAACAAAGATTTTTTTTGTAAGTAAACAACGTAGTACGTGGTTTTAGGAAATTTGGTGTTGATATGATTATCATCATTTGAATATTGATCAAATCAATCGAACATCATTGATTAACTTCTTATTTTTTTTCTCATCGGATTAGCATCAATTTCATTTGACTGAATGGATATTCTGGAAAACCAATCGTGAGCATATATAGATGTCACATTTAAATTTCGAATGAATCATACATGTACTATTTTATTTCATTCCTACACACGCACATAGTCAGTCATAGATAAATAAGAAAGAATCAGTGAGATTGATACTAATCACTAGAAATAACGATTGTTTAGTTTTAGCATTGAACTTGATTGAATATGAATATCGATGAAGATGTCAATCCATTTGCTGATCCATCGATTCAGCAAGCAACTCAGCAAACACTGTTCGTGTAATTCTTCTCACTTGTTATCAATATTTGCCTTGTTCTTTAGTACAAATCAGCAGACACTCAATGAGTACAATCCATTTTCTAATACGACTGTTGCTGCAAAAGTATGCTCGTCAAACTCTTTCTAATTAGAATCGAATCGATGATAAATTTCAGACAGCACCAATGAATGCGGGTACATCTACACCATCATATCAACCAGCAGCACCTCCGATGGCTGCTCAACAAACAAATCGAATTGATTTCAGTCAATTAGAACGACAACAAGCCGAACTTGAACAACGTGAAAAGCGTCTTGCAGATCGCGAACGAGAATTGAGAAATTTACAAGCTCCACGTAAGATCTCCTAACCGAAAAAAATCCCGTTCAATACTTGCTTTACTTTAGACCGTGACAAAAACTTTCCACCGCTACCAGCTTGGTGTCCGCTTCGCCCATGTTTCTATCAAGATATCGGTGTTGAAATTCCACCTGAATTTCAAATATGGGTTCGTTATCTTTACTATCTCTGGTTACGTATGTAATTTCAATCTTACCACATTCATCGATTCATGCAATTTCTTTTCCGTTTTCGTAGTATATTCAGCAACATTGGTTTTGAATATGATAGCAGCCTTCTCTTATCTAAGTAAGTGATGTTTTTTTCTTCAAAGAATTTCGAATTCATTTCGCTTTTCTAGTGGTTGATAAAGAAGGTGCAGCGACATTTGGTCTCTCGATACTTTACTTGTTTTTATTTGTTCCTTGTTCATACGTCTGTTGGTTTCGACCAATCTATCGAGCGTTCAGGTAATATACACATCTTTTTTTTCGGATCTCGATTGTTCAGATATTTGAGAAAGAGGACATAACTTCTAGGTCCGATCGATCGGTGGATTTCATGATCTTTTTCTTCATATTCTTTTTTCAAATCGGTATTTCTGTTTTCATGATATTGGGTTGGCAAAATTCAGGATTTTGGTAATAGGGGTAGCGAAAATAGCATTGCCTAATCTAATTCTATTAACCTTTCGAAACCAAATCTAATCGATACATCCATAAATTGATGATTGACTTTCATTAACCATGATTTTTTTGTCTAATTTCATCTAGAGAAGACAGTGCATCCAGCTTTATGATCTTTTTTCTCATCTTCTTCATTCAAATCGTCATAACCATCTTACAATTCTTTGGTGTTGCTAATCTCGGATGGTAAATCATCTTCACTGTTTTCTTTTGCATGATAATTATCCTTTACTCGCTAACCCTCGTCGTTTGTAGCATTGGAACTTTGATATTGTCATTTTTCTTCTAGCGGTTTTATATTAATGGTGCATCTATTCTCACTCGGTGGAAGTAAAATCATCGTCGGTATTATTGTGATGATCGTGACACTAAGCTTTGGAATCGTTGCTGCTGCTGATGGTTTATTATTAATCAAGGTAAGCTCAATAGATCAGTTCAGATTTTCACGAGAAAGGATGAGAATTTTCTGTAAAGATAAATCCGACGAATATGGGTTTTTGATCTTGCTTTCAATAGGGTATTGTGCTGTTATTGTTTTAAAAAAAGAATTTTGATTGCTCGAGCTCAGATGTTTTATGTGTGTTGATGGTTCGTTGTATAACATCGGCTCGTTTTAGGTACACCGTTTGTATCGTCAATCGGGAGCAACACTTGAACAAGCGCAACGTGAATTTCAGTCGGCATTTGTCAACAAGTGAATAGAATCTTTTCAAAGAAATCCATTAGTAGATATTCGTTTTTAGTCCGACCGTTCGTGGAGCAGCTCGTGAAGTCGCGACGGCTGGTATAAATCAAACAACACGTGGAACAAGTTATCCGCAATAATTTCAATTTTACGAACATTATTAACAAAAAAAAGAGCACCAAACGTTTTATTTTTTCGTTATGATTGTTTATTCTCGAGAAGAAAATTCTATCAAAATCTGAACTCATTTTCGCCTGCTTTTGTTTTTTGTTTTTGTATACAATACAGAAAGATCTTTGAATATACATTTTAGAAGGACATGGAATTCGTTGATGTGAAAAAGAAAACCGATAAAAATATCGTTGATCCTGACATACGCGAAGAAGCTCACCGATACTCAGTACGTACACGGATGGCTTTTCTGCCAGATAAGATTCTCGGTGAATTATGGTATTTCCGTTTGTTAACACTGTTCTATTATTATGCATTTACTTATATCCACGGATTTGAGAGTAAGAATAAGATCCGAAGATGTGATATTATGTGAATATACATGTGACTATAGTTGTTGGAATGGAGAAGGTCGATCCAGAACAAGGTTGTCTTTTCATATCTCGTCATTCGACACATAATGCCGATGTACAAGCGACGCTCGTGTCCACGTATCATAAAACTGGTCGGGTCGTTCGGTAGATGATCTATTCGAGGAATTTCTTGCATTTGTAAATGTGTAATTAGAGCTCTGATACATCGTCAAGTAATGTTTTTGTTTCCATCTCTCCGTTTGATGGGTTGTGTACCGGGTAAACGCGATACTGCCGTATCTTTGCTAAACAGTGGATTTTGGGTAGCGGTCATTCCAGGTAAAACCTTCAGATAACGATCCATTCAGTTTCACAATAGAATGTAGGTGGAGTTGAAGAAGCAATGGTCGGTCATGAGAATGCATATAAAGTGTGTTGGCCGGAAAATCGTACGTTAGACGGAGTTTTCGATATGTGTTTGACGATATTCAGTTTGTAGGTAAAGGTTTTGTTCATGTTGCAACGCAAGCAAACGCTCCAATTATTCCTACATTCATGGCTAATCAAGAAGAGATGCGATGGAACCCCATCCTTTTCCTCTGGAATTTACTTGGCCTTGGCCGTTTATATTCTTCCATTCTCAAATTAAAAATACCAATTTTAACACCATTCATACGTACAGTTGGTGGTCTTGTTTGGTTCTTCATGACATGGATTCAAATTCCAATACCTGTTCAACTAACATTATATGTAGGTGATCCGGTGCAATATGACATGTCTAAAGATACCATCGATGACGTAAGTTGGTTTTAATAGAACTTTGTTTAATATTTGCCGCATTGTATTCAAAGGTCGTTCAACGCTGTCGATGTAGTTTACAAAATTTAATTAGTCAACATCAACCACATGGAAAATCTTACAGAAATGCTCTTAAACAACGAATTGAATCGTTGCGAAACTTTTGGAAAGGATACATTTTCGATACCATTGAAAAGATGCAATAAAACTCAGGAATTTCCACCCAAGCGATTGTTTTCTAATACAAATTTCATATTTTAATTGGGAACGTTGATAAAATCGAACCCGACAAGGCTCGGCAGAATAAACTATCTATTTACATGAGCAATTTATCAGCACATCTTCTCTTGGATCCGTCCGCTTTCATTTACTCATCACAATTAATCAGATTATCACTTTACTGCACACTTCAATTCGAATCATATCAAATTCGTGAAAATTTTGTCAACTCGAATTAGATCATGAGCTTTCTATTTCCACCTCTTGCGTCTTGTGTTTTCCTCTCGACCACACTTCAACGGGCAGAAATCATTCGAATAGAAAAACTTACCTCTTCTCATTATTTATCTACTTTAATCATCAACTTTCTACCTGCTAGTTTTGCTATATATAGCACATCTAATTACAATGATTGTTTAGCTCTTTAGAAATATATCGTCAAGAAACTTTAATGAAAAAAATTTCCACATATTCATTTTTCTCCCATAAGATATTAATCAGCTCAGAGAACTTCCATGAAAACACACACCTGTGCGTCAGTTTCAGCAAACAAATATAGATCTGGTGTTAAACTAATCATCGGCATAGAGCGTCATACGGTAATTATTTATAGAAACAATGCCTTTCACTTATCCTCTAAATGTAGTGATATTGAAAAAGAAATTTACAGGTTAATTAACAGAGACAATGAAAGAGAGTCGGCTGGAAATACGAGAGCAAGTCTGTATAAATAATTCAATTTCAATGATAAATAATACGCGAGGGTTCCTTGCGAAATTTTCTTCCTGTAATTGCCGTATTCTTGCAAAAAATATGGTGAACACGATCTAGGAAAAAAGAGAAACACATTAGATATTTTTTTCCTCATTTTCTTCTGTCTGTCTTTCTTTCTTTCTTTTTGTATTGATGTCTCTTTGTCTCTAAAGAACAAAAGAGAAAGTGAAAAGGGTAAAGAATTATAGTGTGGAATGGAAACGACTTTTCATCCTGTAGATTGTTTTCAAGCATGTTATTATCATACATGTCGCTATTGATGATGTGTTTTCTTGTTGGTGGACTCGTTGGAGAAGTCAACGGAAATAGTAGCGAGTCTTAGCTCGTCAGCGAATGCAGGCACTTGAAAATATTTTATTCGAATGTATAGAGCCAACATGTTTTTCTCTTCTAGTCTCATTAGAATATTGTAAGTTTCTTTGTGCATGTTTATTTAACATTTTTCCCTTCTAACGACGGATATACGCTGAACTAGTTCGTCTAACAACGAGTTTTTTCTTCTTATCGAACACCTTGTGATGCACGACATCCTGCCTGTCATGTCGTGTCCTATACTTTCGTATGAATATGTGAGTGACAACGATTGTTTGGGAAAGAGACGAGTGAAGTCATACAATGAAAGAACGATATTTCATTTCGTGCAACAGCATCATCATCATTATCATCAGTAACAAGAAGTGATCATCGACAAGTCTCAAGTGATTTTGCTTCTCTTGTTATTAAGATGAATAAGAAAAGGAAACACTAGACTCTTTTTTTTTCGAAGAAGTTTTCTCTTTAGACTAATTAAAATGAACCCTCGGAGAAAAAGAAAATTCTACATCGAATGCGAGTAAGGTCAATTGATTAGGCAGATCTGTCAGCAAGAGTTTCTCATTTGTCGAAAAGAAAGAACAGGAAAAAAAATTAATCGCCATCTAGTTTTGATAAATGATTGTGTGATTCATGTCGATTCGATTAATATGCAATTATAAGCAAATATACGCGTGTTCGTTAAAACTTTTCCTGCTGATGTTCTAGTCGAGGTCGAAAAACATAATGATGAGAAAACGATTTGTTTTTTCCTGTATAAACTATTGATTTAGTCGAAACAGACGTGACTATACTTTCTTTATTTAATATCAAATAGATTCGTTTATAATATGTTTGTCTTTAGTTCATTATGCTGTCGACCACACTATCGTCATGTCACTTGCATCGACGTCTATTTATCGCAGACTGTAGCGCTGACATATTTCTCTATTTAATGCCAAACATGATTCTACTGTTAAACGATTCTTCTTTTCCTTTCTGTTTGCAGCAACTATGAATGCGAATAATACTTTTAATAAACCGATTCGTGTTTTTTTCAGATGAAAGACGCCGGAAATAGCGCCTTTGTTTGTCCCAATGATCGCCAATTACAACTTCGAGCAAAGTAAAGTCAGCCGGATGAATTCTCATTTTCTTCTCATATCTTGCTCGTAGACTCAATTCCGGTTGGTCATTTCATTCCGGTCGACCAGCGCCAGTGACGCGCTTAACTAATCCAATTATCTCGAGTCCAAATCAATCATTACGCGATGAAGAACTTGAACGAATTAAGAAAGTTCTCGATCGTGCTCAACGCATCGAACTTCTTGAACAAGAACGTGTCGGGTAAAGACAATTAATCGCATTTTTTGTTTCGATTAGCTCTGATGCTTTCCATTCAGCAAACTCATCGATCGATTGGAAAACATGAAGAAGCACGCCACTGGCAATGGATCAACACAATGTGTTCTCTGTGCCGATGGCTTCGGCATGTTAGGTGCATCATCTGTCTTGTGTGTAGACTGTCATAAAGTAATCAGATAATGAAAGAAAAACCAAACTTTTATTGATTAAGAGAAAATCTTCCTTCAGGCGGTGTGTAATAAATGTTCGATTGAAACAATCTTTAATCAACAGCTCATTAATCTATGTAAAATTTGTAGTGAAAATCGCGAAGTAGGAACCATTGTTGGTGTACCGGAGGTTTGAACGTGAGTTTGACTTGGTGTTATAGGTATGGAAAAAGTCTGGTGCTTGGTTTTTCCGAGCGTTACCGTCACGATCGAGCTTACCTGCAAAAGTCAAAACAACTCCATCGAATGTATCTGTTAACATAGTGAAGAGTAAATCTTCGTAATTGAATTGACGATGATCGATCGAATGGAACTTTCTTTTAGGCAATGATACGTCAAGTGATGATGATTTGAGTTTAGATGATCGAAGAAGTAGTAAAGCAAGTCGATTACCTGAACGACATTCACCTCTAACAGGTTTGTTCGAGATTATCAGAGTGTTCCTTGAGCTTCTTTGTTCGCTTCTAGCCCTATCGAGTAATAATTATCCGACGATGAACTCTTTCCAACCTGTCTTTGAAAATGCAAATTCGATTGACGAACCTGATCGAGATGGAAGTATTGACTCGTCGAAAGCCGACGAACAGAGCTCAAAAGGTACGACGAACTTTCGGTTTCTCGAATAACATTCTTCCTTTCTTTTTGTAGAACTTTCCATCGAAGAATATCTTCCTAAAACTCAATCGAATCATTCTCCACTATCATCTATCATATCTGGAATGACACCGTCGCCGTCGAATATTCGTCCATCGAACTCTGTAATTATCAATACTTCATCACCCATTGATGATTGTGGTTAGTTAACGAATTTGATAATACGACGCTATTTGATCTTTTTTGCAGGCTTCGGCATGCTAGACTTCGAAATCATTTGGAAAGAATCGTTGAATGTTCTGACAATCACGTTACTACGAGCACGAAACCTTCGATCGTTTGATTCCAATGGGCTCTCCGATCCTTATGTCAAACTACATCTTGTTCCTGGTGTTGCTAAAGTAAAACTTTAGCATTTTTCACAAGCTTTCAATATGAGGAATCGTCTAGGCAACTAAACTACGAAGTCATACCATTCGTCGAACGTTAAATCCTGATTTTGATGAAACACTCGTTTACAATGGAATATCTTTAGATGATATGAAAAACAGAACTCTAAAGTAGGACTATCACTCGAATGTTTCGAAATTACTTATTGGACTCCATCGTTAGATTTTCGGTGTATGATGAGGATTCAGTTGGTTCTGACTTTCTCGGTGAATATCGTCTGAAATTATCGATTATTCGACCAGATGCTCGAGAAGCTTATTCCGTTTATTTACAAAACAAGACTGAGGTAAGTTCGTCTCCAATCTTTATTCGTCTCTTCTGATCATCCCGGACAATTTTAGGATATCGAGGTAACACTTGTCGTCATTTTGCTTTCTGTTTTGTATATCTATTGTCTCCGCTTGTGTTGGTTTTGTTACATAGTTGATCTAAGGGAATGACGAAGCTTGTTTTCCGACTTGATAAACGTTTAAAAATTGATGGGTGTGTTGATTCATGTAAATATTGATTTTATACCGACGGCACCCACATGTTTAAACTCTTATCATCATCAAATATGCAGCACGTTCTATTTTTGCTTTTGTGTTTAGTTACCGACGGATGAAGATAAGAATGAACGCGGTAAAATCCTTCTTAGTTTGATGTACTCAAAGGCAACAAGTAATTTTCATGTAAAAGTCATCCGTGGATGTCAATTATTACCCATGGATTTCGGACAAACATCCGATCCGTATTGTAAACTATTGTTATTTCCTTCGATTGATATGAATGTGAAATGGAATTTCAAAACTTCGGTGAAAAAACATACTCTCCAACCGGACTTCAATGAAGAGTTCATCTTTCCACATATACAATTACAAGATTTAATTAGCCGAACATTACAAATCACAGTTTATGATAAAGATATGGGAAAGAAGGATGACTACATTGGTAAGTAACGCTTTGATTAGAATCCTCAACGCACTCGATCAACATTTTCTCTATGCATGTTGACTTGTCAAAATATTAGTCCATGGGTGATCTTTCATCTTGAAATATTTATGTAGAATGTCATGACGGGAAAGTGCTTGACTGAAGTGCTTTAATTTTCTTCGCGGAAACGCGAATATTATGATTGTAAATAATTGAGGATATTCTTTTGTTCTAGGAGGGTTTCAATTAGGCCAATCGGCGTCAGGTGATGATTTAAAACATTGGCTATTGATGGTGAAGTCTCCTGACCAATGGATTGACATGTGGCATAAGTTAAAACCTGAAGCGTTTTCTTTGACGCTAGGACAACGAGATTCTCAAACATCTCGATAAAATGTTCTTCTTTTGTGAATTCTATTCCACGTGGTTGTGCAGAAAAAAAAATACAAACATTGATTTTCGCCGTGAATAAGAGCTTTGAATGATGATAATTGTTCTTCTTTATATTTGTAAACAGGGACCTTTTGTTGTTCTTCTTTTTAATAATAATAAGCATCACTTGTCATATGACGTCTTCCTTCTTCTTTTATTTTTCTCGAACATCTCGATAAGGTGTAATCGATTCGTGTTGAATCCAAACTGAAAATTTCGATCTTAATCTATTTTTGTTCTTCTAAAAATTCTTTCGACAAAATACAAAATCACGCTTTTCTTTCTTTTCGTTGTGAAATTTCGTTGTGGTAGTCGACTTTTTTTTGTGAATTCTATTTCCAAGATAATAAATATTCTAATGCATATTTTAACGCCATCTTTGTCAAATAAATTAAACGCGTTTAGTAACTGTTACAAGGCTGTTGCGTAGTAACGTTCGCTGAAAGAAACGTTTGATTGACAGTGAAAATTATCATTTGAACGTCCAATTTGCGAACGGATATTATGGATCAAGTGCAGGTTTTATCGGCAGTTTGCAAGAAATTGAACAGTGATATCGAAGCGTTGGGCAGTCAAACCGCAATGCGAGAGAGTTCACTAGCGAAATTGAGTGGAAATCAACAAGCATTCGACGAGCAATTAAGACAATTAAACATGGATTTACAAATCAAAATGTCGCGAACGGATACGATTGTACAAAAGTTGCAGAATGATGTCGAACAGATGTCTCATGGCTTACGAGAAGTGCTGAACAGTCAACAGGAAACCAATCGTTCGAGTCTGCAACGTTATCAAGAGATCAAAGTCGAAGTAATTGCTTTTGTCGACTTGTATTTGAGCTTTTGTTTCATTCGATCGAATAGATTTCGTCACTGAGTCAACGTGTTGATCGAATGTTTAACGAACAGCAAGCACTCTTACGGACATTCGAAACTGATACAGCTCGAGCTCTTTCAACAGCTGATTCTCGTTCCCATGCATTTGTTGATGAACTGCGAAATCAGATACTTCAAAGCAAAACTCAAGAAGATGCAGAACGGGAACGTGCGGAACAGAAAATAAATCAAAAACTCGACGAAATTAAACGATCATTGGAGAAATATGTACGAAAAATTTCATTTTCCTTCTTATCCTCGTTTTCGCTTGTTTAGGAACGTTTGGATAAACGAATTGACGATGCTATACATCAATTTGAAAGAAAATCAGTGACATTAGAAGACCAATGCCGACGAGCAATATCCGATTTACAACGAAACAACGAAGTAAATACCGTTCGAAGCGAAAGCTTTGCTTATTAAAATACTTTTTTCAGTCAGTGGAGAAAACCGTTTACAAGAAATTCGATGAAAAGTATCAGAAAACAATGGCCAATCTTGATAAAGTAAAGAAAGAGATGCGCGGTTGTTTCGAGTCACTCGAAGGCTCGGTCGAAACCTTACAGCGCATCACCGACGGACGAATTAAGGTAACAGAAGAAAAATTAGACAAGGAAATTGAAAAACTTCGAAGCATGACCGTTCTTATTTAATATATTTCCATTTCAACAAAACAAAAAAGCAATCAGTATCTGTCAAATTTGATTTCTTGCATGTTAACATTGATTGATATAAGATGAAACGGGCAAGTCACAAATCCAATGACCTTGAAGTTCGAATCGGCAATAAAAAAAAAGAAAAGGACGCGTAAAAAAACAAAATTGCTCTGCCGACTAACTGGATATTAACCTTTTTCTCTTCGACATGTAATTTGTCCGTGTCATGTGTAGTTATAAAAATATTATTGATTTCTTTCAGCTTTCTTGACCACAAATATTTTTCTTCTTCGCAACTTTTCACGAAATACTAACGTGACTCTTGATGAAGCGTATCATTTCATCTAATGATTGTGTCTCAACTCATCGAATGCATGTACTTGTCGATGAGTAAGTTTTTTCGTTTTCTCTCGCCTCTGATAATTGCACATGTACACATTGATGATTAAAAACCAATGTTGTGGAGCTATCTTGTTTTTTATCTTATCAACTTTTTTTTCTCTCTTCTTGCTTATGTATTTTTTTTGCATGGTTTGTTATCGTCTACTTTTAAATCGAAGATTGCTATCAATCTGTTGTCCTTTATTTTCTGGTTCTGTTGTATTTGTTCAAGGAAGCTTAATTGTCAAGCAGAAACAATTGAAAGGCGCGCCGGAGTTCGTCTGTTTGCCTTTCTGAGAACACGTATACACCTTGTAAATAAGTTAAAATAAAAAACTCGAGTAGAAATCATCGGTCGACTTTATTCTTCTATGATTTTGATTTTTTATTTAAAAAAAATTGCAGCACAATATATACTGATTGAGACGAAGCATGAATTACGAACGCTAAAAGGATACTGATTATAAAAAATAGTTTCCTTAAACTAATAAGTGAGAAGAAAAAAGTTAGACAGAGAATATCGTTGCAAAAGAAAGTAAAAAATCAAGCTAAATTCTATGAGTGCGTTTATAATCCACCTTGGTAGAATTGTTTGAACTCATCGGCATCAACACTACCGTCTTTGTTTTTATCAGCATTATTGAATGTGGCAGTAGCAACGTCAAAGCCTGGAACACCAGCACCACCGCCTGATACGAAGCTTGCTGATTCGTATGATGATGAGCCGAAACCAGCATCAGCACCAGTGAGACCTGTTTCGAAGCCAGTAACACCAGCGGCGCCTGAATATGAAGCTGATGATTCGAAGCCTGATGTAGCATAGGCACCGTTAGCACCAGATCCTTCAGCTAAGCCACTTTCGAAACCGGAACCGTTATAAGCACCTTCAAAATCAAATTGTTTCGGAGGATCACAATACAGACAGACGTTTAGTTACTTACCAGTTGCACCAATCTGTGAACCTTCAAATGTGCTGGAGGAGAATTGTGCTGTAGCACCACCTATGTCTCCACCAGTGACACCAGTTAAATCTGATCCTGCAACATCACCACCGAGACCGTAGTTGGATTCATGACTAATTGATCCTGATCTTATAGCACTGGTGGCACCTGTGACACCAAATGCTGATTCATGAGCAATTGATCCTGATCGACTACCAGATCCAGTAGCACCATATGCGTTTTCTTGTGTCACTGATCCTGATCGGCTACCAGCTACAGCTGGAACACCCGGTGGTGACTAGAAACAGAAATGCAAATGCATTTGAACATAAATATTCAGTCTATATTTACAATATCTTCAACAACACCGGCAGCACGAGCTTGTTGAACAAGAGTTTGTGCATCAAGTAATTGTGTACCGTATTTTTCAACGTAGGCTTGTGGGCTTTCTTGAGTGACACCTAAGCGTTGGAATTGTCGAACAACACGAACTTGAACTGGTTCATATTGAATGATGATATTGCGTGGTTTAGGATAGTCTTTAGCGGCTTCAGCACGTTGAACAATAGTTTTTCGTTTAGCAGAAGCTCCATAAGGAATCCAACGTTCGATAATGATATCACCTAAACAAACGTATTGTATGAAATAGATTGCACTTATACTAGTAAAAATTTATAGAACCTACGTGGACGAGGTGGAGCAGCTGGAATACGTTCGATGATAACTGATCGTGGTGGGACTGGAAGAGCTGGAAGTTTACGAACAACTGTTTGTGCACCTTGTGAAGCTGGTGGCTGTGGTGGTCTTTCACGAAGGATAAGTGGAGGTGGTTGTGGAAGAGGTGGCGCTTGTTGTTTGATACGAAGAGGTGGAAGTGGTGGTGGTTGAGGTGGGCGCACCTCTTTGATGATGAGTGGCTAGAAAAGTATGCAATGGATAGTCAACGATGGAGAGAACAAATGAGATTATCGATCACTTACGCCTGGTGGTGGAATTGGTGGTGGTTGAAGAAATCGTACTTTGATGTTTTGTGTATAGGTTTGAACACCACCTGATGCAGGCCGACGAATAATTTGTGGATTGGCATCAACATAGAGACCAGCACCACGTACTTCGGCACCATATTTCGACCAAGCAGCATTGGTTTCAGCTGTATAGTTAGCAGCTTGATTTACTGCCGTAGTATCATATCCAGCAGCACCACCGCCATTAGTTGCTGACGATTCAAATGTTGATGACGATGCATGAAAGTTACTTCCATTAGTAGCGCCAGCATCATGTGTAGCACCATTAGCAAAGCTCGATGCTTCAAATGACGACGAACTGGCACCAGCGGCACCATAGCCTGATGATTCGAATGAGGATGATTCAAAATTGGCATTGCTACCTGCAGCATTCAAGTCGAATTGTGAAGCGCCGACAGTACTGCCACCAGCATTACTTGCTGCGCCTGCCCATTGCTGAAATTCGCTTCGATCAATGGTACCATCTTGATTGGCATCAGCTTGATTGAATATTGCTTTCGCTACATCAAAACCTCCAGCAGCACCGCCTGAGCCCGATGCTGACGAATATGAAGTGTACTCGTAGTTGGACATATTTGTGTTTATGTGTCGCGTACGATGGAGAATAGGTAGTAATTGATGTTATGGATAGATCAGTGTTTATATACTAGATAGGATTGTGTTCACTTCTCCTCTTTCTCTCTTTCTCTGTATTTCTCTCTTCTCCTCTCTTCTCTTCTCTCTCACTTTCTTTTTCACCTCCTCACCCGACTTTAATTGTACAGGTAGCAGCAGTTAGTGCCTAACGATGCGTATGATTGATTACACATCCTTGTCTATTTTTCTCTGCCTTTTTTGCCGCAATAT